TGCGCTAGCTTTTTTTCATTTCTCATTTATTTTGTGACTGGGAGTTTGTTGAAGCCAATTGCCTCGCTTGTAATTTCTCCATCCAAGGTCAGACTTTGTGGGCACCCACTGAACATCTGACAAGTGATTGACTGTTGACTTTGAAGAAATAGGCCTAGCTCTATTGCTGCCTTTTCTCAGTCTCGATTTGATTAATCCCCTTGACACCTCTCTCTGTGAGTCAATCAGTCTCTCTTTCAAAGTTTTCTGGTTTGCATGCTCATTGTAAAAGATCAGCAAATATGCAAAAGGCCAAAAGAGAAAGATCAACACTCATAATCTTTCTACACAGTGGGGAATTCCTGTTCTATTTTGTTGGCTTTTCTCTTTTTGCATTTCCTATTATACCATTGCTCTTGTGCCTCTGTCCAATTCTTCACCTTCTGTCTTCATGTCTTTCGAGCATGTGTGCATGTGTGCATGCATGCATGTAGTTCCTAAGTAGCCCAGGCTAGCCTTAAACTCACAATCTTTTCACCATTGCCTCCTGAGTTCTGGATTTACAAGCCTGTGCCCACCATGCCCAACTCCACTTTCTTTTCTTCTTTTATGGGGAGGGACCGTTTGAGATAGGGTTTCTCTGTGTAATAGCCCTGGCTGTCCTGATACTCTGTAGACCAGGCTGGTTGGAAACTCAAAGATCAGCCTGCCTCTCTCCCAAGTGCTGGGATTAAAAGTGTGAGCCACCACCTCCTGGCTCCAGCTCTTCTTTCTAAAGTTAAGTGGACCCCGAATATCACAAACTCTATTTTCCTTTCTCCACACACAGGATTTTACTGAGATCGGGATTCAAGCATTTGAATTCTTCAAAAGTCAATACACTGTAATACATAATTCTAGCTCCAAGCCACTTTTTAATTCTTGAGATTACCTTGGCTAGTATCTATAACATTCTCCAAAGAAAAGACAGAGGTCTGGCGAGATAGCTCAGTGGCCATTGCTGTTCAACCTCTAGAGCCCTCGTGGAGGGGGAGGAGCTGTACAAGTTGTACTTTGCATACACATTGGGGCATGACATGTGCACACACATACACATGTGGGGCATGACATGTGTCTCCCTAAATAAATAAATGTAAAAAGCAAAAAGATATATAATTCATCATAATAGAACCCATTCTGCTTGCTATTGTTTTTGTTGTTGTTTGTTTGTTTTTGGTTTTTTTCAAGGCAGGGTTTTTCTGTGGCTTTGGAGGCTGTCCTGGAATTAGCTCTTGTAGACCAGGCTGGTCTCGAACTCACAGAGATCTGCCTGCCTCTGCCTCTGCCCCCCCCCCATGCTGGGATTAAAGGCATGCGCCACCACTGCCCGGCTATTGTTTTTATTACAATCTTTTAAAAATTAATTTATATTTTCAATTTTATATGCCTTGGTGCTTTGCCATGGGTGTCAGGTCCCCTGGAACTGGAGTTGCAGATAGTTGTGAGCTGACATGTGGGTGTTGGGAAATGAACCCAGCTCCTCTGGATGGGCAGTCAGTGCTCTTAACCACTGAGCCATCTCTCCAGCCCTTGTTTTTAATCTAAATCTTTTCTACTGACTTCTTGGAAGAAGCCATGGAGCCAAGAGCCTTTTTCCCAGTCAGTGCTGGAAATCAAATCTATGCCTTGCCCGGGCTGGGCGTCCAGCCCTGCTCCCATACTGGCATTTTGTTGTTGTTTCAATGGTTTAGTGTGCAGATGGGATTTCATTGTGACATTGTAACTTGCAACCCTGAACAACATCATCTAAGTGAGTGGTATAATGGAGTGTGTACTGAGAGAGCAAAAGCAAAGATTTTCTTTAAACATGGAGAGGGGAAGCAGCTTGCTCTGGCATCTTTATCATGTCCACTTTGTAGAGCCACTGACCACCACCCAACTGACTGCACCCCCTCTCCCCAAGTCTTCCCTCTTGAAACTCCACCTGAGGCACTCCTCTGTCCTAGACACCGAGGAGACAGACCTGCAGGGGATATTGTATGTCATCCCCTCCAACTCTGTAAGTATTATAATACCCGCTTGTTTATCAGAGAACTAGGAAAGGGGCCATCTGTCTGGTGATACAGGCACAAAAACCTCCCAAGCTCACCCCACTGGGTTGCATTCTGATTTTCCTAACATTTTGAGTGAAATAGCTTTTTCTCTTTACAAAGTTTATGAAAACACCTACAGAGTGTGGTAGGAAGGATGATGGTAATTAAAAAAACCAAAACCAAAAAAGACCCCATTGATCAAAACTGGAGTGATGAATTCCTGTGATCCCAGCAGGAAGGTCAGGAGTTCAGGGCCAGCCTGGACTATATGAGACCATGTCTCAACAAAACCAAACCCCTGGAGTCCACAGTTAGCTTTGCCTTCCCTCTGTCTGTAACCTGCCTGACCTGTTCCTTACTCTGCTCCCCACTCCTTGTATTTTGGTCTCTGGTTAAGTGTTCTCTCCAGAAAGAGGATCCCTTCCTATCTGGCTGGTCAGCTGGTGGGAATATCTATCTTTGTGACAGCTTCCAGTTAGCATTTTAATACTGCCCCAATACAGACAGCTATTCAAGGAAGTCCTCTATAGAAAATATAGAGCTGTGGTGACCAACGAGGAATGTGAAAGAAGCAGAAGCAACTAAGGAGACAGAGAAATCTGCAAACGAAAACAAACACCAAAACCAGAAAGGGGCAGAGAATCAAGCAGTTTGGAGCAAAGGGGTAGAAGGTTCTAGGGTGGGGGCAGGAACTGAGGAAGTGAGGGTTTATCCCAGTCACTTAACAGATGGAAATTGTACTGAGAGGTTATTACAGGATTAGGGCAGTTTAGTTAGCTATAAACACAGCAGACAAACCCAGCACAAACACCTTCACTCCCAGGACTTGGGAGCTGGAGACAGGTGGGTTCCAAGCCAGCCTGGTCTACACAGTGAGCTTCAGGTTAGCTGGGGCTGCATAGTGAGACCTTGTCTAAAATCACAACAAACAAATACAGAAGAGAAACAAGAATGTTCAAGTGATCAATTTTTGTATTACATTACATTGTATTACATTAATGAAATTGATGTGACCATACTTAGAAAATGGGAAAGGGATGCTGTCCCCTCTGCCTGAGGCTCAAGTTCTTCCCTACCAGAGTAGGGGATGAACAAGTGATGCCCAAAACTGTTGTGTTGCCTTGAGAACACTCATTAGACACAAAAATCGGAAAAACTAAAGCAGTAAGTTGAAGTGGTGACTATGGGGATGCAGAAGGGATGGGGAGCCATTGCTTTTCAGTATAAGACTCTTAGTCTCTTCTTTCAAAATTTACAAGCAATCACTATGTCAATAAAACTAAAAATCTGTTATTAATTAAAATACGCCTCTTGATGGCCCTTCTTATGGGCACCTGTCCCTGTAACAGTTTGATCCGTGTTTGGTTACTAGGAAGTTTCTCCAGCATGTGAATGAATGTGGAGGCCAGCCTCATTTACTGAACCAAGTCTGTGTCCACTTACTTTGGGAGTAATTAACTGAGGTTTACCTCATGAAAGTCATGCTAAAGACATTTGTCATTTCTCTGTGCCGTGGAGACAGATTGGACTGTGACTCATAGTTGTTGAGGCTGTAGCTTTATTAAAATTGAGTAAAGCTGCCATACTAAATTGGGTTTTTTAATTACTTTACATTTGATGATGTATGTTTTCCATGTGTATAATCTTTAGCAAACATTTACCTTCTCCAAACGGGCAGACTTATAATTTGTAACTTCTCATGTCTAATCAAACATTTTCTCAGCAGTCCACTACATTTATGCTGGTTTTTGGAAAATAAACCAAATCATCAAGTCATAGTGTAGGGAGTTTCATTTTAGGGCCCTTGGTATCTATAGTGTCTTTTTCTTCTGGTTGGCCAGGGGGAATACAAAGGAGTAGACAGTGACATCCACAAATTAGCATTAGGATGCATAAAATAACAAGACAGAAAAAAGTAAACACTTTCTCTACCCAGGTAAAAACTTGGTTAACTGTGAAGTAAGCTATTTATTTAATCAGGTTCCAGCTCCCATCTTGATAGCCCTTTCTGTAAGTTTTTGTAACTCTGATACTCAACAGGTACTTGTGATTCTGAAGGAGCCTGGAGGCAAGCATGAGCTTGTGTATGCTAAAAGGCACCACGGGTTGTCATTTGTCCCTTCTACCAGAAATCAGGGAAGTGAGTCCTTTTGGTGGGTGGACCAGTTTCCTTTGGACCTAGCATTCCAACCTTTGCTGAGGATAAGGGGCAACATACTCTCTTCTATAACTGCTTCTCAGCCGAAATGAGAAGATCAGTGTTGGGACTCAGGAAGGAGAATGCTGGTCAACCACTGGGAAGGGAAGGATTCAGGCAGTGGTGGGGAATATGCTTCAGAAGCCTCTGGTTCACTGACCCAACATGAAGAGACAGAGCAATGACATTGGCTGGACTGCTTTCCATCAGCTTTTAGCAAGTCCGGGGCTCTCCCGTTCTGCAGGGCCACTTGGGCTGGTGTGTTTGTTGCAGGCTTTTGGGAAGCAGTTTGCAGGCCACAGCTGATTCCTGGATAGTGTCTGCCGGCTGACTGGAAATCTACTGGGACACATATAGACTAGGCATGTGGGACAGGGGGTAAAGTTAAGGAACTTAAGAGTAGGAAGGACAGTACCTATCTGGAGTCTGACCTGTGACAAGTAAATTCAAGTTGTGACTTCCTGAAGTATTTGTGAATTTTTAAAAATTTACAAAAACAGATAAAAATTTTAGATATGTAGCATTGCTACTGTTTGCAGTCTGCTCTGAAATCCTCATTGTAGAAAAAGCAGTTAACAAGAGCCTGCAAACAGCTGGAGTAGACTCACACCTTTGAGCTGTGACAGAAGCTGGAGACTAAAAGAATACTTCTGGGTTAAGAACATGAACACTCTCTCCTCTGTTCAGAGGCCTGGAAATATATCTACATATATATCCATATATATGACAGATGTTTTCAGCACAGTGAGAAGCACTTTTTAAAGATTTATTTGTTTGTTTGTTTATTTATTATGATACAGTGCTCTGTAAGCATAGCCTACATGTCAGAAGAGGACACCAGATCTCATTATTGATGGTTGTGAGCCACTGTGTGGTTACTGGGAACTGAACTCAGGACCTCTGGAAGAGCAGCCAGTTCTCTTAACCTCTGAGCCATCTCTCCAGTCCTAGGGAGAAGCATTTTTAAGTCCACATTTAGAAAATAACCAAAGGAATTGGAAATTTTGAGCTAAATATGACCATAATAAATAGTAGCCAGTGTTTTACCAAAGCTAGAACTCCATTGTGTATCATTTTAAAGTATTATTTTTCGCATACCTTAAGTCATTTCTTCAGAGATTATAACTTGCATTACATACCTTTAACCATTTCTGTAGATCCTCGAAACTGGTATTTATATACCTTAAATCATTTTCTTAGACCCTCATAACTTAAATAAACTTTAAACATTGTTTTCATCCAACCATTAACATGAAGCATAGTTGGTTGATTAAGTCAGTCACATTGACACCTGTTATCTTTTTCAATGTGAAGCCTGTTGGCAAGGCGAACCTGTCTGTGAGTCTGCCTTTCTCAGCAGGACTGCTGGCTCTAGGAAAAGCAAGTTGTGCTTTTCTCATGTGAAATGGCCTGACCAGGCAGCTGCAGCCTTGTGTGGAAGAGCTGGCTGAGGTTGACTTGCTGCCCCTAAACTGATAAAGCCACAGCTTGCTAGCGACACCCTCATAGAGATCTGAGAAGTAAGTTTAAGTCAAATGCTCTCCGTATCAATTGCAATGACAGAGACTTACCGTAACCATCACCTGGACAGCCAGCCTTGCTCCTCCATGGTGATCTCGATGGCAGAGGTCATCAGTCTCTTGCTGTCACACAGGACAGCTTTAAGTCTCAAGCTGTCACCCAAGTCAGCAGTATCAGCCTTTGGCTGCGGGACCTAACGGTCTGAGAGACTTTTTTTTCCTGTGGAGGAGGAACTTGGGAGAACTGACCCATCTTGGCAAGGCAGAATAAAGGAATCAGCCCAACAATGCTGTGCAGGGCCATGACAATGGGAGAGGCATGGAACAGTTTATTGCCCAGTGGTCAGCATTGTCACACTTGAAGTAAGCTTCCGGTTGAGTCTGTTGCTGCCCATTTTTTTTTGGAGGACCCTTAGCTGCTGCTACAGAAGTTGATATTTTTGCCTATCAGAGGAAGCCCTTTTTTTTTTTTTTAAGTCAAGGTTTCTCTGTGTAGCAGCCCTAGCTGTCCTGGAACTAGCTCTGTAGACCAAACTGGGATCGGACTCAGAGATCCACGTGCCTATGCCTCCCAAGTGCTAGAATTAAAGGCGTGGGTCACCACCAACTGGCTAACTTTACTGTTTTCAATTACCTGCTTCTGACGTAACCTTGAAAACATATACAGAGGTAAAGCTTGTCTCTGTAAATGAATTACATTTGTGTTTACCATGACTACAAGCATAGTTCTGAGGACATTAAAGAATTGATCAGTTATAAGATGACTGACCTAGCGAGGCAGTGGTGGTGCATGTCTTTAATCCCAGCACTTGGGAGGCAGAAGCAGGTGGATCTTTGTGAGTTCAAGGACAGCCTGGTCTACACAGCTGGTTCCAGAACAGCCAGAGCTACACAGAAGAGACCTTGTTGTAAAACAAGACAAAAAAAAAAAAAAAAAACATGACTAACCATTAACTTTCATGTCTTAATTTTCCTTAACAGTTTACAAACAAATTAGTAGCTTTTACAACATTAGGATTTTATAGTTTTATTTCTGTTAATTTCAGCCTTAAAATTTTGAATTGAAGATTGTTTGGAATCAAAATAAAACTTTAAATCAGAGGCTGGAAACTTCACTTTTCTGATTCTTTCATAGTGTACCCTTACAGAATATCATGGTTTCTTATATGACTCAGTTTATATAAACAGCTAAAGCTTTAAAAAATTAGCAAAAACGTAAGTGGTTAGACATACATCTACAAGTCAGTTTCATTAGCCTGAGGAGACCTTTGCCAAGGAGAGAGTCTGTAACAGTGGCTCTCAACCTGTGGGTCACATACCAGATATTTACATCACAATTCATAACAGTAGCAAATTTACAGTTATGTAGTAATAACAAAAATAATTTCGTGTTTGGCAGTCACCACAACATGAGGAACTGTATTAAAGGGTAGCAGCATTAGGAAAGTTGAGAACCACTGCTCTATAGGCTCTTTGCCAGATTACTTAGGCCAATGTCTTGCTGTACCACAAGGTAGGAATATTTTATTTTATTGCATTTTCCCCTCAGTTGAAACACTTAGTATCTCAGTGTCTGATACTCACAGCTGTGGCCCTAACTCTTTAGTCTCTCATATCCCTCCCCACATTCCTGACTCCTTTTTTGTCCCTTCTCATCATAGCTCATTCATCAGCTCCTTGAGTCTCTGTTATCCTTCACCTAGAATGATACTGATGCCTGGCATCTTAGTCTGTGCAAACCCCTGGCAAGACCCTGGGTCATGAAATTAAGCCTCTGCTGCTCTTCCCTAAGTCATATTTGTAGTCAGAAGACCCCACTAGGGATGCCAGTCCCTGCTAGTAACTGTCAGGTTGGCCTCAAAAGCTGGCCAAAGGCAAGCAGTCCTAAGTCAGGAGGTGGAATGGGCTCAACTGTTCCCACCAGGAAGGCCTTGGCTGATGCACAAAAGAAAGAAAAGGAAAAGGGGTCCAGAGAAGGAAGGAGGAATAGTTATTTACTTTTTTAAGTAAAACTGTTAAACTAAAGCGTCTCTGTTTCCTGCTCTTCTCTGTTCTCCCAATGGACACAGAGACACCTGTGAATGGCCAGGAATCCATCTGGCTAAATGAATTTCTGTTTCTGTTTTAAACAGTGTGGAGGTTTAACACAAGGATCCTAGAGATGCAACTCCAAGACATCAGATCCCAGGCTCTCTGCGGGTTCAATGTGGATGACTTCAAGGATATTTTGTGCCCCCAGGAAATACAAAGGAGACAAACCTGAACCATCTGGCTTTCTTTTTTTTTTTCTTCCTCTGGCTTTCTAATTATGAGATAACCCTGTCCCTGCTTTCCTGGAGGTGACCTGGGCTGATTTCTCCTGTAAGATAGCTTCTTCTTACGTACTTGGTTCTGCTCTGGTAGCACTTCCTGCCTTGACCTTTTCCATGTGGCCTGGTTCTCTGGGTCGGTGCATTCTATTAGCTCAGATATGTATCTGGCTACAACTCTCTAATTATAGTGAACACTAGAATTGGCAAAATTACTAGAATTGCTGCATGTATCTACCAGTGACATTTGCAGACATTTTGAGGACATTTAAGGACAAGCATTCTAGTTCATCCATGACACTATTCTGAGAGAAAGCTGACATCCAGAAGATCTGTTCTTCACACTGGCATTTCCAAGGATAATAATTTTTCCTTCTGGGAAACTATTCATTGGCCTAGATAGATTTACTAAATATTTCCATAATTATGCAACCATTTACATAAATATTTCCTTGGCTTCTTTAAAAGACTTTTTTTATTTCTGTGCTTCCCTCAGTAACTCAGCCTTTTTCAAAAGAGCAAAGAGTTACTGAACACAGTAAATCAAAACTTCATTTATGCTGCCTTGATGGAGGAATAGAAATCACTGAAAGCCTTTTATTCACATCTCTAACATATCGTCAGTGTTGGCCCTGAAGAACATTACAAAGGTAAAGGAGTTCCCTGCATTCTCTCACCTGCAAAGCTTCCTATTTTCATTTTTTAACCCTTGCATATAAAAGCATATGGGTGCGGCTTTAATACCTTGTTCATCAAACGTGTTATTTTCAAGCCCTATTTTTCATAAAACCTTGTTCATGGTTTTATCTTCAGGTTTTACTCTCAGGACAAAAATCATCATATAAAAATCCATCCTAATCCAAATTATCTTGGAGACCTGCTGTTGCCTCCTTAGTCTAAAAAAGCAGATATTTTGACAAGCAGAGGGTTCAGTAGGACTAAGAAGTTTTATGGATGTTGCTTTAATTGGTTTATACCATGTGACCACCTTAAGATGGTGGTAAGATCACATGACATGCTCTCTCTTTAAACTTAGTAAAGACGGCTGCCAGCCACATGGTTGCTTCCATCTTGATGAGGTCATCGGCCAAGATGACCAAAAGCCACATGGTTGCTATTTACTTGAACCCATCAGGTACATGCACCCCCAGGAGGGCTTAGAGAAGCAGTAGATTCCAGCAACCAATGAGACGGACAGAGACAGAGCAGACGGCTCCTAGGGGGAGATGAGGAGAGACAAGCAGTTACCCACGGATCGAGACAGAGTCAATTACAGGAGAGCTGAGAGACAGTGATCGCTACAAGGCAGCCAGGAGCAGAGTAAGAGGATGGGCAAGAGAGACAGAACAAGCTCCAGGCGGGACAGGGAGACAGAGCTAGCTATGGGGGGAGGCAGCCAGGAGCAGCTGGAGGCCTGGGAGGGTGTAAAGAAGCTGCCTGCTGAAACTGCTATAGGAGTAGTAGGGTCTAGAAGCCAACAGAGCAGGCAACTCTGAGGTGACACTCATGTAACAAGAGAGAGCAATAGCAAGGTTCCCTGTCCGCCTGCAATTGGAAAAGATTAATGTGAGCACAGAAACACAGACAAGGGACAGAGACAGTGACAACAAATCCAACAAATATAGGACACAAATCAGTGACCAACCAGGACAAACCAGATCCTGAGCATGTGTGCTGTTGTCCTTGCCACAATCCAGACCCTGGAATTCTCACGCTGCATCCAGCTTTTTCTGATTGCCACCCCAGACAGAATAAAAACCTGGAACATAGGTTTATCTTTAACCTGAATCCTAGGTATTATTTATCTCTAGAGGTCCTAAAGGAGGCAAGTTGGTGAGGGCCAAGGAATGTCATCTTTGTGGCCTCCCCTAGGACTGGCAACCCTTACCCTTGCCTAGGAGGAGCTGCACCTCAGGCACTGGGAGTCTTCTCAAGAATTTCAGTGGAACGTCCAGATATTATGGGTACCTGAAGAGGAAAACTCCCAAAAGGCCTGAATAAGTCAAATGGAGTCTTTATATGCCAATGGTGGGGCTGTCCAAGCAGAGCAGTGAGAAGCAGCCTTGACCTCCAATTTGTTTGAGCTTTTAAAAGGCGTAACTGCAATTGTGATGTATATAGAAAGGCAACTCTGAATATCTGCAGCAAGCAAGCATTGCTCACAGAAGTAGAAACATAGCAGTTAAGAAGTCAGGTCATGCCGGGCATTGGTGGCTCAAGCCTTTAATCCCAGCACTGGGGAGGCAGAGGCAGGCGAATCTCTGTGAGTTCGAGGCCAGCCTGATCTACAAAGTGAGTTCCAGGACAGCCTCCAAAGGCACAGAGAAACCCTGTCTTGAAAAACCAAAAAAAAAAAAAAAAAAGAAGTCAGGTCATTCTTATAACCTTGAGGTCAGGCACATATTGTGTAGGGATTTATGGCTGGTCTAAATGATCAGGGACCAGTTGCCCAAGATGGTTTGGGCATTTAGAGTTTTCTTAGGAATATTTTCAGAAGATGGCGCAATTATAGTTTAGCAACCCACTACAGATAGGAAGCAGGAGGAGGAGAGGGCATACTGGGAAGGGTGGGAGTCTTTTGAAACCTCAAGCCTGCCTCCAGTGACACACCTCTTCTAACAAGGCCACCCCTCTTAATCCTTCCCAAACAATGCCACTGACCGGGGACCAAGCATTCAAGCATATGAGCTACCACAATGTACTTTGGCAAGTGGGGCCATTCACTAGGGCATGGTCAAACTACCAGAGACCACACTCTTAAGAAAGCTGACTCTTTCTCCTCCAGAAGCCATCAGTAGCTCCTCAGTTAGCAGTAGAGGCTCATGAGCCCTTCCCACTACATGCTGAAATGTTAACTGGCTCAATCTTGTGTAGGCAACTCCAGCTGCTGTGAACACATGCGTGTAGTAGTCCTGTAATGCCTGAAGACACATTTCTGCTTCAGTTCCCCTATTCTCTGACTTTTCCAATCTTTCTGCCCCTCTTCCTCCATGGCCCCTGAGCTGTGTGGAGAACTGGATAAATTCTTAAGTTCTGTGTCTTGATTTTTATCATCTGTGAGTGTGTTAACCCACTTTCTACCTGTTCCCTTGTAGCACAATTTCTTGTTTCAAAGAGTGTACAAACTTTCCACTTCCAGAACACCTATGGCTCGTGTTCCTAGTGCAAACTAAGATCTTTCAGTCTGACATATCCCCGTAAGCCTCTGAATTCATACCTAGAGTACATGGGAAGAGAAATGGTGTATGAGAGTTTGGTTTGGAGTGGGTGTGAATAAGAGCAGAGTTTGCATGGTTCTGGATTAGTGCTGTAATTGAGCACTTCCCGAGTCAGCACACAGCTTCCTCACTGGGAAGCTTTGTGGTTGTTGTAGCAGCTGTGAGAGTTTGGAGCCAACATCTGTAACAGCAGCTTCTGAATTCTTTAGGTTCCTAGCAATGAAGCAGAAGCCCCATTGACTGTCCAGCTGTGCTGAGTGGTCAAGGAGTCATTCCTAGAGGTCAGCCTGTGGTCTTTCTGCTGCTCTCTCAATAATGTCGTCAACTGTCTCAACCAGCTTGTTTGTTTTCTTAAAGTAGCTACAGTGATACCTGTTGATTGCAAACACTCAGAACACTCAACTTTCCTCATAGGGTTTTCGTGAGATTTGTATTAGTCGGCTTTGCATCCTTGTAACAGATATCTGAGCAACTAAGTTAAGAAGAAAAAAATAGTTCTGGAGATTCCAGTGCAAGATGAGGTGGTCCTGTTGATTTGGGACTCTGGCAGGGGTGGTGTTCCATGGTGAAAGTACATGGCGAGACAAACCATTTACAACCTGAGTCGGGAAGTAGAAAAGCAGTAAGAGGCCAGGGTTCTAAATGTCCTTTGAGGGTATGTCCCCAGTGGCTCAGGATCCCCCAAATGCCCTCCCTCTCCAGGTCTCATCACCTCCCAGCCACCCACTCTGAAGGACAAGGCTGTTCAGCATGGACAAGACTTCATTATCTGGCACGTGCTCTCACCGCCTTAGTTCTGGGGCTCTTTCTGAAGCCATTGCCCGTGGTGTTCCTGCAGCCTAGACACTCCTTGTTGGTTTGTCCACTCATCTACTCACTTAGCCCTATGAAAACAAACATTTCTGAGTGTGTATGTTAGTTAAGACATGTTCTGGTTGCCATAGGTTAGTGGTTACCAACTTAGCTGAACATAAGCACACTCTGTGACTCTTAAATAAGCTTAGTTTCTGTAGTGTGCCTGAGACAGCTCTATCTTTGTTTATCTATCTCTATTGCTATTTGTATCTATACTATACCTGTACCTATCTATATCTGTATCGCCCCAGTCCCTCTAAATGGGCTCAACATTCATTCTGAGAAAAGGTTGCTCTCTTGCTCTCTCTCTCTCTCTATATATATATATATATATATATATGTGTGTGTGTGTGTGTGTGTGTGTATGTATATATGTATGTGTATTATATATATATATATAATATATTCCTATGGTTAACATAGTTCATTGTTAAAGTTTACTTTCTTCAAACTGAGTTATAGCCCATCTTTGCATTATCTTTCAAAGAGAATACCATGAGGAATAAAATTAGTTATTCCCTCCCACCACAGTGCTTTGATTAGATAGTGTGGTTTATGGGTCCTGCAGTGCAGAGGCCTCAGCTGAGTGAGGGAGATAATGTTGGTAATCGCTTATAAAGCAAATGAATTACACACAGGAAAATATCAAAACAAGAGTGTTTACATTTTCACACGAACCTGGAACAGCTTTGAAGTTGGATGATGTTCTGTTATTATAGAGCAAAACTTTCAGAAACAGAATGGAGGAACTATACTTTGAAAATGGTCATGTCTGGGATAAAATTCTGTTTGGAGGCTAGATGGACCACTGTGTGGAATTAAACAGACTCATGTCACCAGAGAAATAGAATTCAGTGTAGTCAGCCCTCTCCTCTACCTCCAGGGAAAGTATGTCTATAAACTATGAACATGGTCCTTTCTGTTTTTAAATGTTTGTTAGCATGTATTAATTATATATAATAAAGGGTTTCATGATGACATCTACATGCCCAAATGTAATGTATTTTGAGCATATTCAACCTGGTATGCTCTTAACTCCCTCCTACTCCCACTCACCCCTTCTCTCTTCCCAGCTTGTCCCCATTCTAGTTTCTTGTCTGTTTTTGTTAGTACACTTGTCTGTCTGGGTGAGTATCATTAGGGTCACTTACTGGAGCATGGGTGAGAAGTCATCTATAGGAGTTCAGGCCCCTTGCCAGTGGCCACATCTCCCTCCCTTCCTCCCTCCAAGCAGCCATTAGCTGCCTAGAGATCCTCGGGGAGTAGTGGGGCCTTGCGAACCCCTCCCCAGCAACCATTAGCTGTCTGTAAATATTCGGGGAGGGAGAAGGAATGCTGTGTCTTTAAACTCCCAGAGACTGAGCTTCAGATATGTAAGAAAAGCGAGGCAGAGAAGCAGATAGACTCAATCTCAGTCGGTCAAGACTGCTCTATTGTAGCAGCAAAGGACCCCAGCCTTTCTGCAGGATAAAGGTTGACGGCATTTAGAGGGGCTGAGGAGATAGATAGATAGAGAGATAGAGAGATAGATAGATAGATAGAGAGATAGAGAGATAGAGAGATAGAGAGATAGAGATAGAGAGATAGATAGAGAGATAGAGAGATAGATAGAGAGATAGATAGAGAGGTAGATAGAGAGGTAGAGAGATAGAGAGATAGATAGAGAGATAGAGAGATAGATAGATAGAGAGATAGATAGAGAGATAGATAGAGAGATAGAGAGATAGAGAGATAGAGAGGTAGAGAGATAGAGAGATAGAGAGATAGAGAGATAGAGAGAGATGGAGAGATGGAGAGATAGAGAGAGAGATAGAGATAGAGAGAGAGATAGAGAGAGAGATAGAGAGATAGATAGAGAGATAAAGAGATAGATAGAGAGATAGAGAGATAGAGAGATAGATAGAGAGATAGATGGAGAGATAGAGAGACAGAGAGATAGAGATAGAGAGATAGATAGATAGAGAGATAGAGAGGTAGAGAGATAGAGAGGTAGAGAGATAGAGAGATAGATAGAGAGATAGATGGAGAGATAGAGAGATAGAGAGATAGAGAGATAGATAGAGAGATAGAGAGATAGAGAGATAGATAGAGAGATAGAGAGATAGAGAGATAGATAGAGAGATAGAGAGATAGATAGAGAGATAGATAGAGAGATAGATAGAGAGATAGATAGAGAGATAGAGAGATAGAGAGATATCTACCTACCAGGAAATTGTAGCTATTTTTTGTTGTTTGGCTGGAGTTGCTTTTGTCACCCAGACATATTGTTTCTGCAGGTGAACTGGAACAGTCAGGCTGGTGGTAAGCAATTCTTTATGGCTTGCGGCCATTGCCCAGTTCAGCCTGAATCAATTCCTCATGACTTGAGGCTGTTACCCAGTGGGATATAAGCAATCGGGCTTTAACCAGAAATCAGTTTATTGATGGTCTGCTAAGAAACTGACATCTTAACTTCCTTAATTTTTGGAGGCACCCTAGGTTGCTGTTGTTGATAGTGGTGCTTATTATTGTTATTATTTTGAAACTCGGTCTTATGTAGCCCAGACTAACCTCAGACTCATTACGCAGCTGAATTCTCCTGCTTCCTCCTCTCTGAAGCTGTGATCACAGGCATGGATTGCCACATCTGGTTGTATGGAGTTCTGAGGATTGAACTCAAGGCCTTGTGGGTTCTAGGCAAGTACTCTACCACCTGAGCTACATTCCAGCCCCTGGTAATTATTCTGGCAGAACCCTGAAGGTCTTATTATCTGTTGCCTTCTTGCTTGCATTGATGCTGTGTGTGCATCTCATCCAACTTAAGTCCAGTCATTTATGGGTGGTATGTCCTTTCATTTTAGTTGGTTCAGGGTTTTTTATCTTTACCTTCACCAATCTACAGTTTTACCTCCTGCCTCCCAGTAGGTTACCTTTCATTTATCCTGCTTATAAAACACTGTGATTGTTAAACGTAAGGACTTGTATTTTTCATCAGTTCTGAGAAATCCCAGTCCTTAACACTGTATGTTGCCTTTCTCCTACTCTCACTGTCCCTTTCAGGAGTTCCAATTAGATGCCTGCTAGACTCTCACCTTTACTTACTAGCATTTAGCTTTGTTTCCATTTGCTTATCTCTCTACCAAATTCTGAGTAATATCTTTAACTATGATTTCTATTCTTAAATTCTCCTTCCAGTAGTATCTAGTTTTCTGTCTTATCCATTTCCTGAGGTATTTGTTATAATTTTTCTATAATTGGACATGTTCTTTGTTCCTTTGCTTCTTTTTCTTGTTTACCTATTCATTCTTAACATTATTTATTTTGTGTGTGTAAGCACACATTCACACACGTGTCACAATGCACATGTGGAGGTTGGAGGATAGCTTTAAGAAGTTGATTCTCTCCCTCCAGGCAGGCATGAAGACCTGAGTTCAGAGTCACAGCATCCATGTCTAGGGACAGTGGCACCTGTCACCCCTGCCCAGTGAGGGGAGGAGAATAGACACAGGCAGATCCCTCCAGATCATTGCCCCACAAACCTGGCAAAAGCAATGAATTCCATATTCAGTGAGTGACTCTGCCTCAAAAAATAAGGTGTAGAATAATCAAGTAAGACACCTGACATCAACCTACACACACACACACACACACACACACACACACACACACACACACCATATTAGTGCAAAGTTAAAGTGAATCTCACCTGCTGTCTTAGGCTGAGGCAGGACAGTAACTCCAGCCAGTGAGTTTGAGACTCGCATTTGCAATATAGTAAGACCTGGATAATAAAAAACAACATAAAAGTTGTTGGAAATGTTTTTAACATAAATATATCCCCGTCCCCTGTGGATCCCTTGTAGTCTGTGTCCTCTGTCATTTAATCAATCTTGGCTTGCATTTATGTCTCTGCTGCCTACAACACTTTTCTTCCTGGGTTGGATTATATAAGTTTTAATTCTGTTTGGGGCTTTTCCCACAGCTCCAGTGGAGCAGGTAAGTGGAGGGAGGAGGGGCTGAGGAGTCATATTTCCCCCTTTTGTTGAGCATGTTTAAATTTAACTCTCCACACAGTTCTGACTCATCAGCAGTCCTTCTGTGAACACCAGAGCTTTTTTCCTCCTGGGGGAGGCAGAGGGGGCAGGGGCCACAGGGAGAATGGAGCATGCCCTGTGCCTGCTCCCCTGTTACTTTCCTGTTGCTGTGATAATCTACTCTGACAAAAGTGCCTTAGAGAAGGAGGGTTTCTGGGATACAGCCCATCATGACAAGGAAGTCCTGGAAGCAGGATTAAAACAGCTGCTCCCGTTGTGTCTGTGGTCAGGAAGATGCTGACATTCAGATAGCATCCTCCTCCTTATACTGTCCAGGGCCTGGGGCCAGGAAATGCTGTGACCACTCCCAGGTCTGGAGAGATGATTCTGCTTACTGCTTTTGGAGAGGACTCAGGTTCAGTTCCCAACACTCACATATGGTTCACAACCATTTCTAATTCTCATTTTAGGGACACTGATGCCCTCTTCTGACCTCCATAGGCACCAGGCACACCTGCAGAGTGTGTGTGTGTGTGTATGCAGCAAAACACTCATAAAAATTAATATTTACGTTTTTTTAAAAAAAGATAACCTGTCACAGTGTGTCCAGAGGCTTGCCTCCTTGACGCTGTCAGGTTGACAGTATTACCCCTCACATCTGCCAAGATGGATGCTGTTGCCTCTGCTCAACCCACTCTTTCCTATTTAATTAATTAATTAATTTATTGATTAATTTATGTATTCATTCATTCATTGTGTGTATGTGTATCATCTGTCTGTCTCTCCATCTGTCCATCTGCTCTCTGAGGCCAGAAGAAGGCATTAGGTCCTCTGAAATTAGAGCACAAATTGCTGTGATCTGTTCAACATGGGTATAGGGAACCGAACTCAGCTCTTCTGCAAAAGCTCCAGGCACTTTTATCCACTGAGCCTCTCTCCAAGCCACTCTCTTCCTAATGGCTGTGTCCTTGCTTCCTGGCTGGCTCTAATTAAGCTATTCACCCATATGAATTCTTGGGAGCATAAAGACAGAGATTGCAGCTGGGGTTGAAACACAGGAAACCTACCCATAACCATTTCAGTCTCACCCACTCTGGTGCTGGTCTTTTGGGGTCTTATGGGGGAAGTAGTTTGGGAACTGCTGGAGGGCTCTACCAGCTTGGGCTTCTGTGTGTGACTCTCCCACACACTAAGGCACCTGCTGTTTCCACCCACACTGGGATCACGATTGCTTTGCAGTGGGTGCTCTTGAGACCTGCCAGTAGCCATAGTCCTTCTGCTGGGAGCTGGGTAATGTTCCTGTGACTCATCCCTTCATAGCATGGGCAAGCAGCTACAAGGATACCTTTTCTTACCATAGCATCTATCTGCCTAGGAGATATAACATGGGCATGTGCAATTTACCATTTAAAATTCCAGATGTTAAATGACAAACCCCATGATTTCCAGTTGTAACAACTCTGCTGTGGGTTCTGCTCTTGTTACTATGGCAATAATAGCAAAGTATCTTTTATTCCTCAAGCACTTGATATGTACTAGGCTTTATGTTACTAGCTCACTCAGTGCTTACAGCAGTCCTGTTGTCTAGGTTATAGGCTGTTACTGTATAAGTGAAAACATGAGATTCAAAGATGTTGGGTAACTTGCCCAAGGTCATACGGCCCGTCTCCTAAATTGGCAAGCATCTCTTCTGCCAGGAAGGAGACATTCTGGTTCCAGATCTTTGACCAAGAACCTTTATAAGGCCAGAACTGAAATCTCCCTTGCAAGGCAACAGTTTAGAAATCTGTCTAGATTGTTGCCTGGGGTGGCTCAGAACTGATTTTGGGATTCTTTTGTGAGGATTGCTTTTGAAATTAGCTTATATACATTGGGTACTTTTTGGTTGTTATAATAAAATGCCATGACCAAAAGCAACTTAGACCAGAGCATTTATTTTGGTTTGTGGTTCTGGAGGGATGAGTCCACCATGGTAGAAGCATGGTAGCAGGAGCAGGAAGCTGGGAGAATGAATAGAAGTAGGGAGAGTCTACAACCCAAGCCTGTTGTGAGAAACAAAGAATACTCTCTGTGTTGCACAAACGAACACAAAAGTGAAAGTATCTGGGCAAGACAATCATCTTGAAAATGGTACACCAAAAGCCAAACCTAGCAATACACCAGGGCAACTGTCCTTTATCCCTGACATAGTGTTGGAGGCATGCAGGTCTTTGTGCTCACAGATAAACACTAGGGGAACCAGGAATGTTAAAAACATGGGATTGTCTCCTCAAAGGGGAAGATATATAACCTGGTTTCCATGCAGAAGTCTGGGGATATGGCTAATAGCCTGGTGGCCCTTGTACTATCATTGTGGCCAAACCACACTGGACCCTCCCCAGACCCTTGTCTGGAGCCTGCTTTCTCAATCTACAGGACCTGTCTTTATGGAAGATGTCCCTGGTGCTTTACGAAGAGTTTCTGTGTCGTCATATCTTAAGCTTTGTTGTGCACAGGGGAATGAGTCAGTTATCACCAGAAAACGTTTTTTCCAAATCGTGCAGTGCCTAAATATGCGTCAAACAAATTACTCAAGGTCAGACTCTGAAAGTTCGAGCCAACACCAGCTACTGAGTCATGTTGAACAGAGGTCAGACTCTCGCAGTTCGAGCCAACACCAGCTGAGTCACATTGAACAGAGCTACCGTCTTGCCTCCCACAGGTTGTTGCCCTCCTGGCCATGGTGATTTCAGAGACTGCCCACCTCCACCCCCCCCCACACACAACATGGGAGGTGACTGCCTCTCATTCCATTGGCAGGAGCTTGATATCACAATCAGTTGTGATGGGTTTGTAGATACACAGGGGGAGAGGAAAGTTTGGGTTCAGTAACTTCGTCCTTGCAAGGTTAACTGCCTTTGATTAAAACGTGATAATTCTCACACCATCTCACAAGGCTCCAACCCCTAAAAGTTCCATAATCTCCCAGAGCAGTGCTACCAACTGGGGGTCAAGTGTTTAAATAGATGAGCATTTCTCATTCAAACCACAGCAGTAAAGCACACCTCTTTAATGAAAGACACCTCTGGGTGTGTCTGTGAGGCCACGAGCATTGTTATATCTGTTGAGAAATGTAAATTTTGAATCATCTATTGGCCGGCGGTAGAGCTGTGGAAGGTGGAAACTTGCTCTAGTAGTTGGGGGGGGGTGAGGCTGCCTTTAAGTTTGTCTTGGTCACAGCCCCTTCCTATTTCCTCTCTCTGGTTTCTGTCTGTAGTGACGTAAGCAGCCTCCTCTGCCACTCACTTGTTGCCATGATACTCTGCCATGGCAACAGAGTCAGGAGACTGAAATTCTGAGCCAAAAACGAACCTTTTCTCCTTTAAGTAATGAACAAATGGACTGACTCATATGCAGAGGAACCCCACATGCAGGGCTTCTAAGGAACTGCTCAGTGAATGTGGTCAGGGCCACGAAAGAAGCCAGGTAGCGATGCAGACAGGTGTGAGTGCCCATCAGACCTTCCCTCAGGCCACTTCTCCAGGGTGTGGCTAGTAAGAGGAGCAAAGAAAAGAAAAAGGTCCAAGATCCAGAACAGAGAGGTGTAGCACCACAGAGCAGGGTCCTTCATTTTCAGGCAATAGCATCTAATATACTTCAAATGATGTTGTTATCCATGGAAACAGTGTATTCAGTCCCATTCTTGCACGCGTGCACACACACACACACACACATACACACACCTAATATAATTTTTAAAATAAGAAAAGTTCCACTTAAATAGTACAGAATCATTTGTTCCTGCTAAGATTAACAACAATAATAAAAATCTCTAGCTCATGGTCTGAGGAAGGACAATGCCCCGTATGACTGGGTACCAACAGGAAGGGGGATTCATAATAAGGGTACCATGGGATGCTCAAGGCAAATCAACGTGCTATTGTACAGTGGGTCCATTCATCCCACAATCCATTTTTGGAGGCAATACTCCTGTTCTGGAAGGAGCAGGCTACTGGGGATGTCATATGGGACTGCCCTATACACTGTAGGATGTTTATATCCTTGACCCTACTCAGTATCAGGGTTAAATGTAATATGGCTAAATATTATATTTAAATAATATAATATAGGTAACATTTTGTAATCACTTCCCAGACTCTTTGCAGAGAAGGTATTACTGCTCCCATTTGAGAGCCCAGTAAATCTGTGTATATCCACAAGTAGACTGAGGTAGTGTTTAAACATAAGGGTAAAAGTACAGCAGTGAGTGGAGCTATGAAGAGCCGCTGCTGTCCCACACGCAGGGAGGGCATCAGGAGAGGAGAAGTAGCAGCTTCACTTGCTGCCAAGGAGGCAGTGGCATCCCAAGGGCCATAGCGGCTGCATGATGAGAGAGAAGAGTGTGTGGTTGCTGCAAGACACAACTGAAAGAGAATCAGAGACTGGACAGCCTGGAGGCAGCATTCACAGAACTGAATATACTCAGGCCATATGTCTTTGTTCCTTCTCAAGAGGAGGGTTGTTTCTTTGAAGATAAATTGCAGTCTGCTTGACATTTGCATGAAAAACACAGGAGATGAGCCAGTTTTTAGGCTCTTTTGTAGACACCTCATAGTACCAGGCTGGCAAGATGGCTCAGTGGTTAAGAGCACTGGCTGCTCTTGCAGAGGACCCAGGTTCAGTTCCCAGCACCCACATTGCTGGTTCATAACTATCTGTAACTCCAGATCCAGGGTTTTCAATGACCTCATTAGGCACCAAATACATACAAGTAAGCAGACAATATATGCAAACAAAACACCCATAAGTGTTTAGTTTACTAATAGTAAAATGAAATGCACATGAAAACATGAACCCTGTGTGTCTGGGTATATTGGGCAGCTGTTGAAAGGACATGCCATGTTCTTGGAGCTCTAGGTGTGAAACCTCAGGAGGGAAGTTTTAGGAATTTCTCAGCTTTCCCAGGGTCTTCTGGGACACTCCTTGCTCCTTGGCTCTCCTCCTGTAGATAGCAGTCTTTTGTTGGTTTGCATGAACTCGGCACTTACAAAGAATACAAGCTGCAAGGTCATCCCCTATGTTCCTCTGATATATGGACTAGGAAGGCCAGCAGCTACCTCCCTCATTTTCTAGCCACCAGGGGCTTCTGCCCAGGGATAAGGTTGCTGGGAGGAACTCAGGGAGGATGACTGGCCTAGCAGAGGGAAGGGACATTTCCTTACCTTTCTGTTTTTGTCTTCCTTCCTCTCTCTCTTCTCTCCCTATGATTAAGGAGCACAGGATATAGAGAGTCATTTGTGCATAATCTTTCCTTGAATTCACTAATAAAAAATAAAATTTGTAGCCAAGTCTGACAACCTGGGTTCTATCCCTGGGTACCACATGGTAGAAGGAGAAAACTGACTTCTGTGGGTTATCCTCTGATCTCTATATGCATGTGTGTGCGCGCGTGTGCACACACACACACACTCCAATGGCTACTATGTAAGCATTTATAAAAGAACAAATGAATGGTGAAATATACTTTTAAATAAATGGCGTAGACAACATCTAATATTGGGATTAATAGCTGGTAATGTCAAAGTAGTGTATCTTGCCCTGTTCAGGCTGTATGAAATGCCATAATTAGGTGGATTAAACAGTTGTACTGGGGGCTGAGAGTTCACAGTCTTCAATAACCCCCACTCCCTTGTCCACAGAGGCTGCATTTTATGAATTACATTCATCATAGAAGGAAATGCTAAATTTCAGGTGAAAAGTAGTAATGATACGACTTTTTTTCAGTCTCCATGAGTCTGTAAACAGGAACCCTAGGCTAAGAACTCTTGATCCAAGCTGGGAAGATGGCTTAGCAGTTAGGCGCACTGGCTGGTTTTCCAGAGAACTCAGGTTCAGTTTTCAGCACTCAGACGTCAGCTCATGACCATCTGTAGCTCCATGTCTTAGGCAGGGTTTCTGTTGCTGTGAAGAGACCCCATAGCTTATAAAGGAAAACATTTAACTGGGACTGGCTTACAAGTTCAGAGACTTGGTCCATTGTCATCATGGTGGGAAGCACGGTGGTACTCAGGCAGGCATGGGGCCAGAGAGGTAGCTGAGGGTTCCATATCCAGATCAGCTGGCTTGAGCATCAAAAACCTCAAAGCCTGCTCCCAGTGACATACTTCCTCCAAAAGGCCACAGCTCCTAATAGTGCCACTCCCTGTGAACCTACAGGGGCCATTTTCATTCAAAGTACCACACTCCAGTCGTGGGGATCCAACACCCTCCTCTGGCCTCGTTAGGTACTGCATGCTGGTGGTGCACAGGCTAACATGCAAGCAAAACTCCTGTACACATAAAAGAAAAATAAGGAACTCCTGGTCCTCGTGTGGTGTAACCTGAGGATGATGGGAAATGTCCTCAGTGTCTTGGGAGTAGTAGAGTGTTGAGCTGAAGAGAGGCTTTTGTGCTGTTGGTTTGCTTTCTGGTCTTAAAAAATTACCTTTATTGTGTGTGTGCATGATGTTGTAGGAAGGACATGCCACCATGTGCATGTGGGGGTCAGAGGACAACTTGCAGGAGTCAGTTCTCTCCTTCCATCTTGACTTTGGCTCTGGGGAATCCACCTCAGGCCAACTGTGTAGCAAAAACCTCTACCCACGGAGCCACCTCACCAGCCCAATTTCTGATGGTTTTGACTGCCTGTCTGAGTATTGAAATATGTTTTGTCTTGCAGATAGCAGTTCTGTAAACACTGAGCAAAAGGAGGACTCCTGGGACTCTGAGAACTTCCGGCTTGATCCTTCTGGGAAAGGCCAGCTGGAGACCAGTGAAGAGGAGGATGGACTTCGGGAAACGCTGGACAGATTCTATGAAGCATTTGCCCATCCACTGCCAGGCTCTGGGGATCAGCTCTCTGCCCCTGTGTGTCAGTGCCTGTCTCAGAAAATCTCTGAACTCCAGGGCCAGGAGAGTCAAAAGTACGCTCTCCGCAGTTTCCAGATGGCGCGAGTCATCTTCAACCGGGATGGCTGCTCTATCTTACAATGCCATTCCAGGGAAACCCGCTTCTACCCTCTGGAGGAAGGAAGCAACTCTTTGGAGGACAAAGAGCCCACCCCAGGGCTGTCAAGAGAGATCACTCGTTTCCTCTTGGAGCAGCTGGTAATGAAAGACTCCTAGCTGGTGCTGGCATGAAAGTCGGCAAGGCTGGAGGGGGAGGTGCTGCGGCTTGGCCCTCAGAGTCCCTGAGGGGGTTTCCGGATAGCCTCCTGTTTCCAGCCAGGATAGCTACAAGCTTTACAGGTAGAGGCTGGCACCTGGTTTAGGGATCCAGTAAGACTATAGGTGTGCCACCCACCACCTGCCTTAGCCAAGGCTGCTACTGACTCAACTAGCGTTGAGTCCCTGCCCAGCTTCCTTGCCTTAGTCTGTGTTCCGAATGATCTCCTGGGGTCCAGGCCAGGAAATCAATTCCTTGCTTGGTTCATCCCTCCTCCCACTCACCTCCTGGTGTCTCTGGTCTTTTCTTAATAAACCTTTACATCTGCATCCTTGACTCAGCCTACTCCTGGGAGAACAAGCCTTGGAGAGCAGGCTTCTGGAGATGAGTGTTCTGAGGAGACACATTTCTGTGCTGAATCAAGGGTAGCAATTATACAGAGCCATAAATGGGGGCCAGTTAATTTACCTGAAGCAATGTAAAGATTTAAAAACATTTCCAGATACCACTTCACATCTTAATCATACCCTTGGCTTCCCTCCAAAGCCAGAATTCCGTTTTATATTGACCGTGGGGAAGGAACCCTTGGGCCATCTACAAAGCTAAACTTCACACATAAAAGGGCTTCTTCAGCTCCACTAGATTGCAGCATGGAAAGCAAGGAGACAGCACTGGACCACCCACCAGGTCTGATGTGTAAGGGTGTAACCGTGGGGCCTTGCCGACTTGTGCTTAAGGGGAATGCTTTGCCGAGGCTCCTTTCCCCTCTCCTGTTGTTTTTGCCCTCTGTCTACTGGCAGCACCCTCTGTCATCGTCTGAAGGGTTGCCCCCATTCCTGCTCCAGTGCCCTGAGCTCCAGTGCGAACGCTTGCTCAGAGCAGGGCTTTGCCATCACCTGTGCCTGTCGTCCAGGCAGGTGCACAGCCTGACAGGGAGCTCTTTAAATAGCTAGTCCAGGCTTGCACTGGCAGATGCTCCACTCTGCGGGTTGCATCCCGAGCCCCAGTTTGAGAATTACGTCAGCTGGCACCAGGAACTCTGAAACAGTGATTGGAAGCCTCATAGAGTTCTTCAAGCAAATTACATCAGTAGAGAGGCTTGTTTCCCTCATTTGGAGAAACAGCAAAAGCTGGCAACTCTATGCACTTAGATTTTGAGAAACTTGAGGTGACGTTTAATTGGCATAAGAGGCCAAAGCTTTTCAGAAAGTGGATTATGCAAATGGGGCAGCTGACAAGTGCACACTAAAAGTCAGTACACCGCAGAGTCTCTTGGGGACTCTTGAATGGAAAGAAGCATAAAAAGAAGTAGTGGTATGAACAAGCTTCCAGTTCAGGGAGGGTCTTCCATGAAAAATGCCGAGGCACACATGGAGGGGTTCTACGTGTGTGAGTAGGCTTCCTGTTCAGGGAAGGTCCGAGGCGAGACACTTCCACGTGGGAATGTGGAGGCACACAGTAGAAGGGGTTCCGTGTGGTAGGAATTTGAGTGAATGGGACCTTGAGAAGTGCTCACCAACGGGGCTCCAGCTTCCCCTCTCACAGGCCGCCATCTACCGCTCCATCCAACAATCATGCAACTGGTGCAAGTTCAAACCCACACCTCAGGTTCCATGTGACGGTTGCTGACTTTATTGTTTTAACTTGAAGCCTGCCAGTAGACACCCTTGGAGAGTGGTGAAAATTATCTGGCCACAGGGAGATGCACAGTTCGTCTCCATGGCTATCAACGGCGGGGCGGGGGGGGTCTGGATTATTCTATGCTTGTTTTTAATGGACAGCAAAAAACCAATTTGAATCTTCATGTTGGAAAGTAGTGGCTTCTATTTTGAAGGGAGATTTTAATATCAAAGAATGTCTAAGCTTCACTGAGCTCAGCAAGAGGAAACCTCTGACAGTGCAGAGTGTAGGAGAGTGAAAGCCAGGGTTGCCCTGGGGTAGTGCAGGGTATGGTGTGTGTCCACTTAAGTCTGGCTAAGCATTTGTGACAGGCCAGTACAAGATATTTGATTCCCTGTGGCCCTACCCCTTAATTCAATTTCTGTGAGGATAGAGTGGTATTTTCCATTCATCTCTGTGAACCTTTAATAAGGACTAAGATAAGAATACTGCAGTCCAGGCCTTTGGCAGTATGGCCTGTTTCAGCACCGAGGGGTAAGTTCATGACATCTTATCAGCTCATGAACATGGTGAGGGGACTTATGATATCATCTGTGATGTTTTCCAGACCCACAGAGCTTTTGTGAGGGTCACTGTGTTCCAGAAACACCAAATCCTGAAGATGAGCAGTGCCAGCTGCATCTGAGGTGTCTGTACTGTGTGCAGGACATTAGTCTGTTTCTCCCGATGACTCATGAGTTGAAACCTGGGACCTTGCACTTGCTCAGCCGGCACTCCTCTACTGAGTTATAGCCCAGCCTCCATGAGCTCCTTTAGGGAACATGTGACAGATCTTATTACCAGTAATTTCAAAACAGTGCAAAAGCAGGAATTCTTTTTAAACTTGTGAAGGCTCTTCTTCTATTTTAATGTGGTATTGGGTCACAATGACACACAAAAGTGCATATAGCCTATGTGTGAATGTCTCAGTAACTCTCACAGCTGAACCCACCTGTGCAACCAGAATCTTCCTTGAGCCCAGTGGTTCCTGCTAAGGGAAGACTTCCATCTGTGGAGCTGACGAGAGCAGCTAAGGGAAGACTTCCGTCTGTGGAGCTGACGAGAGCAGTTGGTACTGACCAGTTTGCTCAGGGTGCTGGTAGCACACAAACTGAACAAACTCATGGACAGTGGTTCTTTCATTGCTAATCTACTCAGTTCAATAAGCTAGGAAAATACAAATACTACATCTAATCCATGGTCTTACATAACTGGTAGGGTCAGCTTAATATAAATACTTAAAATGTAAAAGGCTGATATAATAAAAATTAATCATAGAGTAGGTGACACCAGATGCATCAAGTTAGAAAAATGGTGTGCCCCCAAATTCCGTAAGTTCCAGATACAGTGGTATAGACTATTCTAGGAAAGGGCTGTGGGCAACTGCGGGGTGGTGTAGAATAGTGCAGAAGACATCCATGCTTCAAGCTACCTGTGCCTCTCTTTGCCACAGTGCCAGTTATTTTGAAAAGAAAAGCATGCATGAATGGCCAGACAATTTAAAAGACTAGCAATATCATATAGGAAAATATTTTCTGTCTAGTAATTGAAGCAGTACCAATATAAAAGTAGATGCATCAAAGGAAAGGGTTGAGTCTATAAATAAGTATAAGCAGTATGGTGGTCTGAAGGAAAATGACCCCCATAGGGAGTAGCATTGTTAGGAGGTGTGGCCTAGTTGGAGGAAGTGTGTCGCTGTGAAGGAAGGCTTTGAAGTCTCATATATGCTCAAGCCACACCCAATGAGACAGCCTATTTCCTGTTGCCTTTTGATCAAGATGTCTGCTTGCAAGCCACCATGCTCCTCGCCCGTAACCTTTAGTCTTCCTGCCCGCTGCCTGGGTCCTGTTGCTGCTTTCAGCTCCCAAATAACACACAAGACAATTTATTACTTATGAAGCTGTTGGCTGTTTGCTTGGTTTCTTATCGGCTAGCTCTGACTTGATTATTAACCCGTAATTACTAATATATATTTTTATAAGGACTTATCTTTCTAAGGACACAGCTTCATGCATCCTTTCCCTATGATCACATGGTGATGACTCTCTTCACTACATTTCCCAGAATCCTCCTAGACTCCTAGTCCCACCTATCTTGTTTCCCTACTGGCCAACAGTGCTTTATTGACATATACACAGAAGGACTTCCCCATCACCCACCATTATGATAATGGGCTGAACCTCTGAAATGTAAGCCTCCACCTCAATTAAATTTGTCTCTTTATAAAGTTGCCATGGTCATGGTGTATCTTCACAGCAATAGAAACACTAAATAAGACAAGCATATATGCATATTGAAAGCATGATAAAGTGACATTTCAAAGTAGGCATGACTGGGGATGTAGCTTGGTGTAGAGCACTTATGTAACATGCACATGGTCTTAGCTTCATCACCAACACAGGAAGAAGAGAAGAAAATGTAAGACAAAGAGCTCTCAGCAATGTTTTTGGAATGATGAACTTCTTACTTTGGGAAAGGGAAAGTCAGAATGAAAACCTGGGTTCCCCATCGCACATCTTAAATCAAAATATATTCTAGATGGGCTTCAGGGTAAAAAAAATCTAAATTATGAGAGTGTGAGATATATACATATATATGTAATCCATATATATAGTATACACACACATATGGGGAGAGAGGGATGCTTGGAATGGGGGAATCTTTCTAAGAATTGCTTTAAAAAAAGAAAAGTCTAAAAAGTTCAAAGACATTTTGATGAAATTGTCTTCTGGCCTGGCAAGAATGACTCAACACGTACTTACTGTCAGGTGTGATGATCTACTTGGGTTTAATCCCCAGGACTCCATAGCAGGAGGAGAGAACTGACTCGAGTATGTTTTCCTCTGATCTCCAAAATTGTCCTGGTGCATATGCATGCATACTTACACACACACACACACACACACACACACACACACATACACACACACACACACACACGAATAAAACTTGGGATGTGAAAATTTTCAACACACAGAGTTCTTGCAAACAACCAAGGAGGAAAACTGGAAAAATATGAACATATTGCTAGGAAAATGGTGTATATGTCCTCAATGTGTTCATGTCTGTACTCCTGTAAACAACTCTAATGACACTGGGTTACAAAAAAGAAAAAGCAGACAGGAGTTAGTTGGGAAGTGGACAGGATCCGTGGGAGAGGGACAGAAACAAGAGGGAGTAATGGGGAGGGTTGGACATGACTGAAATATATTATGTACATGTATGAAAATGACATAATGAAGCCCTCTGTATAACTACTGTATGCTAATAAAACATTTTAAAAAGGCATGACAAAGAGGCCAAACATCCAGCAGTGGGACAGAATATGCAGAGTTAGCATGAAGTCCCCCTGGAATGAATATGAAGCAGCAGACAGAGGAGAGCCTGTGTGACCCAAGGACAGCTCCAAAGGATAAAGTATAGATGAATTTAAGAAGCAAGATGTAGCCTTGTAGCTCAGGACAACAGGAAATTTTTGAGGAGTTAACAAGAGAGTAAGGACATAGGTTGCAATACTTTTGGAAACTAAGAATGTGTTAAAGATAGCATTTCAACGTTCTGGTTGAGAATGAATTATCTAAGAGCTGGAGAGCGGGCTCATCAATTAAGAGCACTTGTTGGTCTTGCAGAGGACCTGGGTTTTGTTCCCAGCACCCACGTTGTTGCTGAC